AAAGAGGATGATGATGATGATAATTACAATAACAATTATAATAAAAACAATAATATTAATCAATAATAATTAATTAATAATAATAACAATGATAATGATACTTAAAGTCTAATTGTGAAATCTATGAGATCACCGCCTTCCACGTTTCTATTTTCTTCTCCAAATGAGCCCGTTTCCTATTTTTTTTTCTTTTTTTTTTTTCCTTCCGCGGCCAAATGAGCGTCTCCTTATATTTCTTAATCATTTTATTGTAGTTTCATAAGCTCCTTGTATTTTTTTTACGACAGTTTTTTTTTTCTTTTTTATTGGTATTTAGGGTGAATTTTAATGTTTCCTTTTCCATCCGTATTTAACATTTTTTTATCGAAAATGTATATTTTACACGAATGGAATAAGTCTTCGTCCTAAAATCATTTTTTGTCCTACGTTCTTCCCTGATTCGAATTCCCAATCCACAATAAATCAGTATTAATCTTTCGTCTGCTTCAGAATATCAAGAATCCAATTTTCTTTATTACCCAACAAGTGACAAAAAAAAAAAATATTCCCCGCGACATATTTTCCCGCCGTCGTTGCCAGATTTTCCATCCGACAAATTACGCCTTTTTTCTTTTCTTTTTTCAAGTAATGAAGGATTGCCTTGAGGAAATCCGAGCCTGTCCTTGTCCCGTTGTTGTTGTCTTTGACTCTGTACTGTTCGTAGCTCATTAGCTTGTTTTATATTCAGTTTAAGTAGTAAGATTAAGAGTATGCAAGCATTTCGTCCACATACATACATACACACACACACACACACACACAAACACACACACACACACACACACACACACACGCACGCACGCACACACGCACGCACACACGCACGCACACACACACACACACACACACACACACACACACACACGCACGCACGCACACACACGCACATACACTCACACATACTGTGTATATATGTACAAATACATATATAAATGTGTGTATATTTACATATGTATATAATAACCCACACAGATACATATTCAGTATGTGTATAAATACATACATACATACATACATATATATAAATAAATATATATATATATATTCCAATCCACACTCCTTTCTCTATCTCTACCCTTCTTATCTTTCCTCCGCCCTTTTTTCTGGAGCAGAAGAGCAGCTGGCGAACGATTAATGAAAGAGCGGACGTAACTCACCATTTCTCCGTAGGACCGGACAGACGTAATAGAAAATGGCGACCGTGGGTTTTCTTTTCCTACAAAAAACGTATAAGCATATTCGACACTTATGCATATTCGTAGAGGAAATGCTGTGTATTGATAGATGATAAACGATTTTTTTAAATATAGACGGATGGGAATAATTCTTATAAATAATTATCCTATTTTTTTTAAGGTCAATTTTTTCCTACAAAAGAAAACGTACCTTCGGAGAAGAAATGTATGTTTACGATTAAAACGCATTTTACATGTATTGCGCCTAAGTTTACAATAGCTTTTTTTTCTCTTTCTTTTTCTTTTTATTTTTAATCTGTTTATTTAATCTGTATTTTCGTTCGTAGATAAATGGTCATAATATCTCTCTTTTGGTAGATTTGTTTGTGCATTAAACAAAAACAAATAATAGTTTAATTTCCATTGTTTTATGTGTTGCTGGTTTTGAGTGTATACATATACGATGTATAGATATACATAGATAGATAAACACAGATAGATAGATAAATACATATAGATAGATGAATAGATAGATATTATGGGAAGGCAAAGGGTATATAGCGTGAATCCTTTGCCCATGCGGTGGGAAGCCCGACGTAACATACAAGAGATCTAGCTTTTTATCCTGCATAGAGCATTTTTTAATCGTTGGTGTGATATGTCGTTTTTTTATGATTCGAATATCACTTCATTACAAATATAACCAAAATATAATAATATGGGTTGCTTATACAGTTTCTTGGTTTTATTGAAGGTGAACTGAATAGGTAGAGTTAGTGAGCTATAATAAGATATAACAGAAGTAAATTTCTGTTGCACTGCTGCAGATAAGTTCAAACTACACACTTATGAACCTGTATTCGTGTTGACAAATCTAGAAAAGGTATGAATGAGAATGAATGTCTTCACAATATAAGAGATGTACGTAACCGGTTTCGTCAGAGATACATGTATTTCTGGCGAAGCTATAATCCGAACCGATTAAATACATCTCTTGTATTGCGAAGATATTCATTCTTATTCATACCTTTTCAATACGCATATGACCTGTCGGCAAGAAGGACCTGGATTGCTAGCGTGTTCATGTCTACACTTGAAGGAAAGTGTTGACGGAGGTACACTAGCCTCAGTCAGTGTTTTCAAGTTGCACTGACTTGTTGCAACACGCTGTCACCTACACGCTGTTGTCACGACGTTGCTGTGACTCAGTGTTGCCACAGCGCGGTTAACGGTGCATCATGTCTAAGCATCCGTTTTCTCCAAGATAGCAAGATTTATGATTTCAAAAGGTTAATTCAACTCATGGGAGTTTATATTAGGAGTCTTTCTTAAACCGTTGGCTTCAATTTGAACTGGAACGTAACTCAGGCACGTAACAGGACAAGAGAAAAGTGAAACAGAAAAAAAAAAAATTGTGGATAATAAAGAAAATTCGTCTTTTTTTTTTTTTTTTTTTTTTTTTTGGGGGGGGTGATTCGGCAGGCAAAAGTACATAGGAAACAGTTTTGTTTTTTTCTTGGGACAAATTTGCATTGATCAGTGTAATTAGAGTACTGGAGAGTAATAATTAACTTATAATTCATAATTTATAATTTAAATGATTTAATAATTTACTTTTACTTATCCTTTGTCTATAACCTTTTCGAATTTTGCTTGTTTTGAATAATGGTAATAGTAATAATAACGATGGTGATTATGATGATGATGGTGATGACGATAGATATAATGATGTTGATGATAATGATACCAGTATTATTAATGATATTCATGATAATTTTAATAACAATTATAGTAATAATTATAATATATTTGTGATCTTTATTGTCATTATCATTATCATATTAATATTATTATTACTACTACAGTCATAA